AACCGCACCAATCAAAAGAAAATTCATTAGTTTAAAGCAATGAAATATATAAAATCAATAAACAAAAGAGGTCTGCACCCGGCAAGCTGTGGAGACCGACAGAGCACAGCTACAGTGCCAAAAGGGTAATCAAAATTCAAATTCTACGAGTTATTTTAAAAAACTTAAATTTTAAACATCGGTTAAATTAATAATGTAAATTGGAACAGTGAGTTACCATTTTATTTGCAAATACTCATGTTTCAAGAACAATTCAGAAAGTGCTAGGCCTCTTTGAATATTTTGATCTGAATATATCGTAAAAACTATATTTTCATTACAATACATTTTTTATTTGCAAATAGTTGGTGTATAAACGTAGTAATAGATGAGATATAAACTGTTGATTGCAACCTGCTGCTTTTGTTCTCGAATACCTGCGCTACACGTGAAGAAACACCTATTAAAAGTATTGCACGATTTTTAATAAAGGTCCTCAGCTCATTCTCTAATTCCCTAATGAAGGTCGTGCTACACAGTGTGAACAGAGTAAATAAATTCGTAATTATTAAATTCTTCCTTAATTTTAACATTTTTAAAATCTGTATTAATTACAGTTACTTTACAGTTCAGAAATGTCACAAAGTAATCTAGTTTATCGTTGGCTCGTCCAAGTGCCAAAATGATAAATGACTTCTAATAGACGCGCTTATTCCTTAATGATTAATAAAGCAACTTTCAAGTTCAAATCCAACATAAAGCGCATATAGAGCTCGGGGAAAGACGCTAACTGTGAAAATGAAAACACAAAACACTCAAAAAACGACGGCGATGCGCTCAAAATACCACTCGAGTGAAAACTCAAGAGCTCGTAAATTTCGTCTGCGCTGCAAAAGTAAACGCCCATAAACAAAGCAATTTGCCCAGTGCCGCAGAATCAGTTTCTCAATGAAAGCCACGTGTAGCCATAAATTTGATTGTGCTCTGAACCAGTTCTCGGCGCGCTCCTCTAACAGGTTTCTCATTAGTCCAGTGCTGGAAAACGCCGGCTGCGAGTTGGCTGCTAAATGTAGCGACATCTGCACAAAATTATGCCAAAGTTGCAGAAAAACGCAAAATATTTTGCTTGTATTTTGGCAGTTTTTGAATTGCTAGCGGTTTTCTGACGCTTCCCAACACGAAAAATGGGCGGAGACTGATTGGCCACCTCGCTCACACCACTGCTGCTGCCCGGTTGAATTGCTTCCCTTTCTGTCTACCATTAACAACAACGCAAGCATATGTTTGACACAGAAACAGCTGCTCTCTTTCTCTCTCGCGCTCTCAAAGAGAGTGCGCAGTGCTCATGCAGCCAGTGTACGTGCGTGTGTGTGTGCAGCAAGCAAAAGATGAAGATGCCAGCAATAAACCATTCCCTTCAGCTATAAAGCATTGCGAGCGAGAGAGTGCCATACCGGCCAAGCGTGTACAAGCAGGACGCAGCAAGCAAGCTGAGAGAGGCAGCCACATCGTAAATTTGTGCGCGTGTGCGTGATTTATATCGCACTACTGCTGCTCTGTCGCTCTGCCGCTCTGTCGCTGCGCCGCAGCGTCGCAGCCATCATGGCCGGGCAGAGCGCGGACTGCGACTGCGCTCGTAATTCTCCCGCTTAATGGTTTGTTTACATCATAAATAAATATGGCTGAGCTGCGAGAGCCGAGTCTGCGTGGTAGAGCAACGCACAGTTTTGGCGCGCGTTCTTCGCTCAGAAACGTTGTTCCCAAATTCGCAACAGTGACGTCAGAGGCCAGCAAATGAGCCAATTCACATAAGATCATAAACGCGCATGAGAAGCGACAATTACAAATGATATTGACAGCAAGTCTTGCCATATTGCTAATATGGATGGAAAACTATTTAAGAATGTCATTTCCCGAAAAGGTAAACATTATTTGTGCTGCTGCTGTGATTTGTTAGAATAAACTCTAATTATATTAATGGATTACTTAAAGGTGCACAAATGTCAACAATAAAATGTACATACAAGTTTAACTTTTGAAAGTTAGATAAATTAAAAAGCGACTTCTTTAAGTCGAAATTCTTGTTTCACTAATTTTTCTTCTGTTGCCCAGTTTGTTAACATATATTTATAAATTAAAATAATCGTTTCTACGAATTTCTGTACTTTTGTTCGATACATTAGTTTCTTGAATTAAAAAATATTTCAGATTTTACATACATATTAACATTTCACTAATTTTTGATCTAAGGCCATATTTAAGCTTCTAGAAATAATAATTTATTTTTTTGTGATTTTTTTTATTTTTATTTATTTATTATTTACTATTATTTATCTTTTTTTTGATATTGCTGGAGAATATTTCCTTTTTGTATTAGGTACAAACGCGAAATATACGAAAATATAAAAAATTTTAAAAATGCTCTGTATTGTGTTCAGAAAAGCATTGTGTGTACCATCCATAACATTTTTTTTTTTATCTATAAATAAGCGTTATAGTTCTTAAAACTTATACATACCTATTCAATTCATTCTTCATCCATTCAATTCAATTGAAATTTGAAGAAACTTGGACGAAATTGTATTGAGCATTTTCAATTTTTCCATGACTTTCAATTGTGGTTTTGTCCGATTTACGTATATAGTTAGTTACTACTAAAAGACTACTAAATAATTGAAAATAAAATAAAATACACCATTGTATTACTCATGTGCAGCTTCATTTTGTACCCAACTTGCTTATCATTTGCCGACGGGCCTGCAGCCGGCGGCGTCTGTGCGTGCAACATGATGAGGCACCATATATTAACCAATTGAGTGAATAGTGGAGTGGATGGGGGGATGCGGGAGGAGGGTCATGGTCGTAGATACTTGCCTATCTGAGGTGGCACAACCACTTGTGGCGCTTTACTAATTTTACTGCCCGAAAATGGCACGCTGGATGGTCACACAATTACGGATGTAATAAAATAATTTGCCGTAATTGCAATTGAGCCGAGGGGCGGCAGTTGCGACGCCCGTCCGCCAAGAAGCTGCCATAGCGCAAAAGTTTGTCCCTGATTAAGCCCCTCACCCGCGTGCCGAGTCCTTCGCAGTCGCAACAACCGCCACAAACACACCCCTTTCAGTAGTAGACGGCTTCGGTCTTTGTTTCAAAGTTCGAGCAGAGTTCGAGCTGCTACCGGCTCTCCTTTGGCCGTTTGATAATGTGTGACAATGTCTTGGGCACTTGCCGTGCACAGAGGGAGATTTTAATTTAGCCAGGATTTACCTGAGCAACTGGCAAGCGGAAAGTGAGAACAAGAACTCTGTTTGCCGACTTTGTTCTAATTTTGCATAGAAAACTACTTAATTATTACGCTCAGCCCGCCAGCTTGGGTCTGTGAGTGCTGTGTGTGTCCGTGTCCGTTTTATCCTTTCAGCAGGCTTTGAGTTATGATGTCTTTATGACGCTTTTGTCTGTCCAGGCACAGGCAGTCGACCCATCCCTTGTCCAATTCCAATCCTTTTGTATGGTGTTGCCGTGTAATGAGCAAGTTAATTCTTATTATTATGGTTATTATGTGTGTAGCCAGAGTGCGGACTATCCGGCCAAGCGTTATTTGCCACTACTCACTCTTACGCGTATGCGTGGGCGAAGTACTCATAAACATGGCCCATCCTCAACAAGTGTTGAGCAATCGAAGCAAATAAACATAGAGCACATAAAATGAGCCTATAAAAACAAATAGTGGGGCATGTGGCTGCCAAGTGTCGACCCCCTTGGATAAACAAACGCCGCCTTCGAGCGCCCCTCAACACATATCGTGTGGCACCTCACAGGCTTCGCCAGAACTGGCCCATGAAAGCTGCCCCCGGGAGCCACTAGGTCTCCGGGCACCGTGTTATGGCTATGTACTATGGTGCAGGCTGGTAGCTTGGGCATGCTGCGAATATTTCCACATTTGTTTTTGTTTTTTTCATGATTTTCAAACTCTGTACAAATAAACAAATTCTGCGATTAACAATATTTGATGCTTTTCACGCTTTTCACACTTTTTACTTTCAAACGGCACTAAAATCGTGTTTGGTTATTTGTTTTGAAAATAGCTGCTACATTTCTTTAATACATGAACTCTAAAGCATTTAGGGGATAATCAATCCAAGCAGTGGTGATCTTATTTTAGTTAAATTCTTGGAAATTGGATTGGACTCTATCGAAAGGCATTGTTGAGACCGAATTACTTTTTAAAGGAGGAATCAAGTTGTTTACCTAAGAGACAGTTTGATAGATCTTCTTGTAGTTAACGTTATTTATTTAAGCAGCTATTTAAAAAAATCCATTTCTTTTTTAAGAAAGTTTTTAAGCCGATGCCTTAGACGAAACGGGATGGCTTGTGCGCTTTTAAAAGTTATTTTGATACTTCCATTAACACCGATTCCATCTTGAATACCTATTAAGGATTCCTTTGCTTTTACCCCACATAATCAGCAATTTGTATTGGTTTCTGTCCCTAATTCTAAGCGGAGGGCGACCCTAGAGTCAATGTAATAATTATAAATCAATATGCATTCAATAATGGGCTCTCACAATTATTATCTGTAAATGTAAGCGAAACACACTTCAAGCAACAACAACAATCGAATTGATAGCACACTCCGAAGAAAAATTCAAATAATTTTCAAGTGTTGCCAACTTAATTAAGTCACAAAATTTATGAGCTCCTTCTGGCTGGCATTGGTGTTGCCAACGAAGTAGCATGCCCCAGTGGCATGATGATTATGGGCGGGCTCACGCACACACGCACGCACACATACACACACACACACACACACACACACACACACACACACACACACACACACACACACACACACACACACACACACACACACACACACACACACACACACACACACACACACACACACACACACACACACACACACACTTACACACACTCTTGGATACTTTCAATATCAAATACAAATAAGCGCGGGAGCAAAGCAACTCAATTGACACGCGTCGACCCGCGCCACTTACGAATCGAAACATCTATGTGGATATCGACAGCCGTGGGCGCCCCAAACGCTACTCCAAACTCTGCAAATGAAGCCGTTCACATTCTTGGGCTCCGACTCGAAAGCATTCATTGAATCTGACTCTGAATGTGCGTTCGAAGCGAGGAAGCAGCGCCAAATGACGACAACGTCACGACGATCGATTTTAACGATTTGTTTTGATATTTTTACGATTATGGGGCATCGTTTGCACAACATAAATAGAACATAAAACTCCCATCACATTGGCGGGTCACAATTTCGGCTCGAGTTCCAATTTCAATGCCCGCCAGCAATACCTACGGGCTTCGTTGCTAGGCAAGCTGCGAGTGTTGCGCTGGGGGGCTCTGTTGAATTCAATTAATAATAAACTAGCTGCAAGTGGCAGCGCGAAGAAATCTCAATGAATATTTACATTTAACGATGTATGAATTGCACTTTGGTGGTTTTATGGGATTGACTTTAAATTGCCCACCGCGACGCCAGATGCATGATGCACTTCAAGGAGCATTAAGCAACTGCCTGGCTGCATTTCGTCCTGCTGCTTCGAGTTCCTTTTGCATCATCGTAAATCACAGGCGCCGCATGCATATGAGTTGAAAAAGAAATATGCCAAAAATTGCATTTAAGCGTAATTTTTTTGTAAATATTTTTGGTGTTCTGTCCTTGTTGTTTTATGATGCGTTTGTCCTGCGTCCGCCCGCATATATGCAAACTACGCACTCTACGGGAATCTTGCCTCTGCTTTTGCCTGCCTCGTGTTCAGCCCGGCGACATATCTGGAGCAAAAACATAATTTCGGTTCATTTTTTGTTGTATGCCTAGCGAATATTTTGTCTGCTTTTATGATTTATGACATACGGCACAGGATGCTTAGACAGCGGCAAGTGTGGCTTGCAACACAGCACATGAGACACACTCGCAATGTGGTAAGGAAATGAATATTTGAATCAATACGTCAGGGCATATGTTGCCAGTACCTGTTTCGCCCATTGAGTATTCACTGAGGTTGACTGAGATTGAAATAGAAATTTAATTGTTGTTTAGATTAGTGAAAACACTTAATGATTATTGAAATAGAACTATCAAAAGTTTTGAAATGCTACAGAATAATTTATATTAAAAAAAACAAAGCCTACTATACGATGAAATCATGCGCTTATCGAAAATATAAAACAATTCATATGACACATTTCAGATATGAAGATATGGTTAAAAAAATCCGTGCATTGCTTTTTGAAAAAATTTTCATAATATTTTTTATTGGGCCGAGATGTCGGCACTTAAATTCCTTTATGCTGTTCAAGAATTCGAATCGTTTTCATCAAATGCATGAAAATGCGTGCGGGTTGTTACAAATAAGACAAAAGTCACGTGCGGGGTGCCGAGTTTTGTGCATTTGTCATATTAAAATAGAACATGGATGCTCTAGCTCCGCTTGGCAGCATCTCCTGGCTCCCCTCGTCAGCAGACGGCCATATGCCAGCAGCCGAAACAAAATGGCGTCTGTCAGCTGCTTGGCATCCACATGTGGATGCAGCCGCCACTCGCACGTCTGTGAATCCGACTACGAATTCAAATTCTGAGTGCTGCTGTTGATAGATACGCAGGCAACCCAATTTTCTCACAGGCCGTCGCTGTGGCGTGTCCTTTGGCGTGTCCTTTGGCAGAAGGAAATGTTTGCCTAAGCCTCAGATGTTGTTGCTGCAATTTTGAGCTGCGTTTTCGGCTGGTGTAGCAGCGTTCAATTGTGTATGCCTCTGCCCTCTCGCATCGGTAGTGCCACATAAGGCTGCAGTTGCTGATAAGCCTGAATCGAGCACAAATCGATTGCCCCAGCGCTGCGTGTGCAACATGATAAATGTGCGTGTTATCCTCCTTTATAGCAGTTGTCAGTTGCAAATGAATTCCAGCAACAACAACAATTGCCGATACACATGCGCCACGTCTCGTTAGTGCCAGTCCCAATGCCAGACCCAAATCCCACTCAAATGGAACGGACGCTCGTTTCTGTGCCGTAAGCGACTCGTGCAGGGGCTTCAAGATAACGCTCCATGTCAAACGAATCTAGCTTTGGAGAATTGATAAGAATTTTCCCCAAGTATGATGTATTTCAATTATCTTAAATTGACAGAAAATTAATTGCATAAACGCAGGAATATTTTCAAGGACTAATTGGTTGATGTACAATTTCAAGTAACCAATTGCAGGGAAAACTCTTCTAACGGAAACTTTAATTAGGCGTTCACTTTCTCTCAAACCATTATGAATCAGGCCGTAGCCATTATACATTTTACTTAAATTCATAGTTTTTTATTCTTTAATTGGGTTTTGAATAGAATTCTAGTTTTTATTTTTTTTATTATTTTATTTAATTTTTGACTGCATTTGATGAAACCGATATTTTGTTGTGTCATGTTGTTGATTGTGTTCTCTAAAACGTAAGTGGATTGTTAAAAGCTTTTCGAAAATAATGTTTTTTACATATTTTCAAATTTTGAATTTTTTTTCGTTTGGGGGTCGGAATTGGTAGTTTTCGTTTATCTCAGCCGATGTCAAAAAGGTTTACAAAAATGGAAAGCCAATATATTTAGCAACCATTAATTTCTGTACACATTATAAAAGTACATTAGTTTAGAAAATATTAATATTGTTATAAGAACAATTATTTATATTTGTATCAAATAATTATTTCATTTACATTTATTCGAAGAAATTGCAAATCCATTTAAATAAATAGAAACAAGAAAGAGGTTCTAGTCGGGATCTCCCGACTAGGATATACCCTGAACCCCCTTATTCCAGGGTTCGAACTCGCAACTGACCGCATTACTTGCTGTCGACTCTACTCACACACCAGCAAAAAAAAAAAAAAAAAATAATACTTTCCCCGGTAGGGCTCGAGCTCGCGACAGACCGCACCACTTGCTATGCCTCTGCTCAGCAGCCACACCAATAATTAAGTTCTTATGATAAAAAAAATAACTAAAATAGCATTACAGAAAAAAGTCGCAATTACCATGCTGTTAGAATGCAAAGCAGACGCGCATGAATGTGTGTCTGTACATTTATACAGAAATTCTTAAAGCTGCTGCCCCATCCAATTGCGCAGTTGCATATAACTTTGACTTTTTCTTAACCGATCTTTATGAAATTTTCTACAGTATATCTTATTGTACCATAGAATATTTGTTTATTCTGAAAAAGTCAATTGCATTTAAATTGTGGTTTAAGTTGGGTTATTGACTTGATTTATAGCTCTGGGGTGTTAGCGGGGAGGTGGCGATAAGTATAAAATGAAAGATACTTGACATATATATAATATTCTAGAAGCAACATGACATGTTTGGTGGCTCTAGCTCTTATTATTTACCTGATTTGCTAAAAAAAACAGGATGTCGATATCGATTTTTATCGATTGCTTGGAAACGGAGTAAATTATCGATTACCGGAAATAAACTCGATCTGCGCGGGAACTAGGAGCATCTGCATCTAAAATTTCAAGCTCTTATAGGTTCTGAGATCCTTTGGCTCATACATACGGACGGACGGACGGACAGACAGACGGACATGGCTAGATCGACTCAGTTGTTGATGCTGATCAAGAATATATATACTTTATGGGGTCGGAGATGCTTCCTTCTGCCTGTTACATACATTTGGATTTTGCACAAATACAATATACCCTTATACCCATTTTTAATGGGTTCAGGGTATAAATATAAAGTTATAGAGTTGGAAAAAAACAAAAATTTTATTATATAAGAAAAACCAGTCTTCGAAATAGTGTGACGAACGCATGTTGAGGAAATAAAGAACGCGTTGTAGAATTGACAAAAATGTCTCTATTATCGTAAATACATTAAAATTTTCCCCACAATGGAACCTAAAATAAAATGCTGTTGACACAGTATACCATGTTGACAATTAAATTAAATATCAACTGGCAAGTGGGATGCTATAAACACAAGTGCTCCGATTTCCACAAAAGCTGGGCCTACATATCCTCAACGGGCTCATAAATGATATAGCTGGTGTGGCCCTCTTTCTCATCTGGTGCAATACGCTCCAGCGTGGCGACCAGCAATTCGTTGACATTAAGCTCACGGAGCAGATCCATCATCATGACATAGGAGATGCGTAGCATGGGTGTGCCCTCCCTGCGCCACTTCTCGATCATTTCGTGATTGGCAGCCAGCTCCTCGTCGCTGCTGAATATGTGATAGTTAATACGGCAACCCCTATAGCCGCGTACCTTCACCTCGTGCACGGGCTTTGCCTCAGCCCTCCGCTGGCGTTTAGCCTTCGGCTCACTTTCATCATCATCGCTAGTTTCGACGGCGTCCAGGTCGCTGTCGCTGGTGCAGTCGCTGCTGCTCTCGCTGCTGTTGTCGCTGTCCTCGTTGGTGTCGTCATCGGTATCTTTCAAGCTGCTGCTGACATTGAGATCCTCAATTAGCGAAAGCTTGGAGCGCAGCAGATGTAGTTGACTGGTGTCCACAAGAAGCAACATGTAGTGCAGTTGTCCGTCCGGTCGCACTGTCTTTAAAAAAAGCCTGGTTTTCTCCTCGCTGATAGGCACTGCATCTTGCAAAAGGTGCAGCATAATCTGAGAGACGGTTAGCTGGCCAAAGAGCTGTTCCAGGCGTCCCTCTGGCAGCTGAACTTCACTCTGACCCCGCGGCGCCACCCAGAGCGTATCTACATAAAGCTGTGTGGCCACTTTCTCGCCAAGCGACTCGCCCACCAGCTGCAAACAGCGACCGCAATGAATGTGCTGTCCACACTGAATGACGCGTTTACCCAAAATCTTGGGACTTATCACAATATAGTTGAGAGCATAGAATAATTCGCCCTCAGCTAGAGATGTGGGCTTCTTGTCGCTGGGACAAAAGTACTTTATTGGCTCCATGGTGTAGACGGGCATTGGACGGATGCAGTCGTAGCGGCGCACGGGCACCAATTCGTTGTAGCAATTGCTGCAGTGTAGACCACAAGCCATGGATTCGTTTAGGAGCAGATGCAGGTCCTCAATGGAAACGTCAACGGTTTGCTGGTCCAGAGCCGCATCGTTAATATGGACCAAACTGAGCTTCAGGGCTGTTGCATTGTTCGTCTCCTTGTCAACTGTTATGCCCGCCTCTGGGTTTGTGTTGATCTCAAAGAACTTTCCCAGAGGCGTGAACTGCTCAAAGTCGCGCTCGATCCAGCGTATGCCATTCGCGCTCACATCAATGCGTCTGGTCTGTTGCCTAGCCTTATCCTCGTCCGGGGAATTAAGCATCAGCACATTTATCCACTTACTGGTGCGCATCAGCGATATGACAATCAGTTCCAGTGGCATGATAATATCACAATGAGCTTGCCAAATGTTCTGTCAGGTAATACACTTCTAACACTGAGTTTGACAGCTGGATTAACCAAAAGGCTGCTGGGATTGTCGGTTGTCTTGCAATGAGTTCAAGTTGGTCACTGGGATTACGTAAGAACTTGTGCAACGAAAGATGTATAAAGATGTATTTATATTCAATTTAATATTCTACTTTTAAGAAAACGCTGAGCAATGTTTAACACTTTAAAAGCTAATTGTCAGCAAGTGATAAATAATTGAAACAAAGATCTGATTTTTACATTCTGCAAAGGTTCCTTAGTGATATATTCAAAAAATAATTTAAATACATGACGTTTTTAGTAAGGATTCAGAAAATTACGTTGTGAAGTCTGTAAAAATCAAAGTGATATATGCAATGCTATATCAGTTATTTAACATATGATATTATATTCTTTTTTCCGTGACCTTTAGTTTATATTTATATTAAATTTGTAAAAGTGTGTGAGGCTAAAGGACTCATCAATAAAATAATATGATATATGTACACATGCAAGTATTGCTGCATATAGTAAGAGCTAGAAAATTTTTTCAAGGGCACGCAATCATCGGCCATGGCCCAGCTTGTAGGGGATCTGCAGTGATGACTCCTACGAAACGCTTTTTACCGTCATAGAGTCGCACACACGGAAACGAAATAAATCGAGAGCGAAATGCATGGTCTCAAAAGGATGAATGGCCAGTTTGAAGGCAAGCAAAAAACAAGACAACAACAATAACAAC